TAACATAGCCAATAAAAAGAAAACAAATGCGTAAAAATATAGTGAAGTAGGTAATATTATGTAATTAAATAAATTATGTAGACTATGTTAAATAAACATTGTTTTCAATCCATTAATAAATTTAAGCAGTCCGTGTAACATTGCTATAATAGATTAAATTGTGTGTACTTGATTAGAATTAACTTGAGGAAGCAGAAACTTGTTATGCAAAAAGTTCCTTTCTAGAGAATGTGAAGACTAAAATTTCTGAGGTTTGGAAATTTACTGGAACTGAGAGAATTTAGATGGCATGTGCTATGCAACGAATTCTTATGTAGTAAAATTTAATTTTAATAATTTTATCTTGCTATATAAAAATGGCTCATTTAAAATATATATTTTGAACTATTACCTGAAAGCAATTAAGTATGTCAGAAAGTATATCTATATATAATAGTAAAAAATAAGCTGAATTCCATATAATGTATGAAATAATGGGATGTATTTATGTATTAAGATGAAAAGTATATTCAGATGCTTTTTTTAAACTGTATTTATCTATAATGTACAGATTTTGTAATATTATAGAATAATAATGTAATGTATGTATTTTTTTTTTTTTTTTTTTTTTTTTTTTTTTTTTCTTTTTTTTTTTTTTTTTTAGTAGTGTCAGTGATCCAGAGCATATTGTTAAGTTGTTAATGGGTCCATAACACTTAGATGACAGAACACTAAACTCACTTGGTCATATAACCAATATGGCATTTAGCCAACACTGATACTCAGCTGATAGGGATACATAGCCAACAGGTCATTCAACCGACATGGGCATTTAGCAATATGTGTACTTGATAACACATACATATAGGCAAAAAAAGATTACAATGTTTTAGTAAAATATATCCATATTTATAGGGAAAAGGGGCTATTTCCAGGGTACCCACGAGAGGGTTTATGAATAAGTACCATATTTTTTACTTTAAAGAAACTCTGGATTTTAAAATTAAACAGAAAAGCAACCATATTTTAGTGTAGATTTTGAAATCAATTTGGAGAGTAATCAGACAGGTCTCTATATTTCAGTTTGGTTTGGTTTATTTAATATATTTAATTCCAACAAAGCCAAGGGCTATCTGCCTAAAAAAAGGGAGACTTTCTAGGGAAAACTAGCTCATATGCTCATTACACATGGAGAAAGACACAAAAGCACCCATGCAACCAGCATGAACTGCCAATGTTCAGTGACTTTATTGCTATGTAGTTTGTGCTCTCAGGCTCCATATTTCAGAACTGGGATACAAAATTTCAGCAGTCGCAAGAAAGAAATGATTGGAGAAACACAAAAGCAAATGTAATGTGATTTGTCACAGAAAATAATAATGAAACAGGAAAAAGTAAGGTGTTAGAATTTTGAAAGGCTTGAAAACCTAATGTCATTTACTAAAGAAGAAAAATTTTTGGTAATGTAAAAGGCTTCAAATCCAGTTTACTTTACGTTTGTATTCTCTTTGCTCTGCTGTTTCTTTCCATATAAAGTTATTTAACTTTTCCGACTGCTGAAATTTTCTTTCACACTTCTGGAATATAAGGACTGTCAAAATTGATATCAAAATCTATGGCAAAATAAGTTTGCTTTTGTGTCTGATTTTAAAATCTACAGTTTCTTTCACATTAAATTATCTCAAAAATATGATACTTGTTGATAAACCGTTAGGTATTTTCTTTTTCAGAAAAATATGAACAAATTTTACTAAAATATTGTCACTTTTTTTCCCTTCGTTATTGTTGTTGTTTGTTTATAATTAAGCATTGTCAGCTAAATGTGCTGTTGGCTAAATGTCATGTCAGCTAAATGTCAATGTCGGTTAAATGTCCTGTAGACTTAAATGTCCATGTTGGCTGAGTGTCCTGTAGGTTAAATGTGCCTGTCGGCTATGTGGTTGTCAACTAAGTGTCCATGACTGGTTGGTAATCATAAATTATGAACAAAGTTAAATTGTAAAATCCTTTCAAGACCATTGTATCTTATACTGGCAGATTTTCTTCTGTTCTGTAAGGAGGAAGAAAAAATTAACTCAATATTGTAAGCATTTAAAATTGCACAAAAAAGAATGTTGAATGTTACCATCTGCTGTTATGAACACTTTGTAGACATAAAAAATAAGCTGCTATTGTTTTAAAACTGATATTCACAATGCAATAACTAACTGTGTTGTAAATAGATACTATAACATGAAAATATTATATGTTTAATAAGATTTATACTAAACATTTATTTTAATTTTTGCATTTTGTGATAAAATCTAAAAATAGTTGCTTAAGTTTTAACTTTAATCATGTGTAAAATTAGAAGTGCAAAGCAGTAATTTAGGACTTAACAAGGTTATAGTGTGTTATTCTCCCAAATTTAAAATATTTTCAAATTATTGGTCTTTACTGTTTATTTATGTATTTATTCATACCTTAGTATTTAAATATTGATTTTTCATCACTGATCTCATTTTGACTAAAAACATATTTTGTACATAGTAATGTAAGTTGTTTCTTGTTTGAATAAAGTGCTTGAGCATGATGTGGAGTTTGTTTGTTCTGTTAAATGAATCATATTTTTCCAGTATGTGATTATGAATAGAAAAGAATGCAGAGCATAAGTTTTTATTGTATTTTGTGAAATAAGCTGAATACTATTAACATTTTTCTTGTAATATAATGTACTTTATTTATTTCTTTAATTTTTTAAATATTGCATTAGTTATGATTTACTATATAATTTGATGTGGAAAAAACTGAATCCTGCAATAATTTTCTGGTGTATAACTTGACTAAATCTTTAATTTTTTAAATATAGGATTGATTATGATATGGTGAAGTTAATATTGATATTATATCATTTTTACTGCATAACCATAACTTATTTGTAAAATTTGTTATCATTCCTATTTGCTCATATTTCGAATTAAAAAACTTTCCTGTATTTTAAACTTTAAAATTTAAGTCTAGAGGTGACTGTCTCAATTTCATCAAATTTAAAAGCATTGAGCAGCTGAAAATTTCAGTTAAATGTAAAATGCTGAACGTTTAAAGTGAGTATAATTCATTTTTGTTTTCATTATTATACTGTTTTATAAGTGCTTGCTTATAATCAATTAACATTGCCTACATTAAAAATTATTTCTGGAAATAACTTCTTTTATGAGATCATCTCTTAAATAGTTGCTGTCAATTTATTTATTAGAATTACTCATCTATTTTTTGCATAGTGTGAGTTAGAGGATATAAATGAAGACTTTTACTTTTATTTCTTGGTAGGGCTGTTGTAAAATTTGGCTATTGTTTCATCTGAATTCCGTAATTTGTAATTGTGTAACAATGTACAAAAGTCATGTACTAAAATTAATAAATTTCTGGCTGTAAAAAACATAGTTTTTTCATTGTTCAAGTCAATTATTTTCAACAAACATGTATGTATCAGGGGTTGTTACAGCGCAGCTCGTGAGCCATTTGTGGCTGTCACAGGTTCTGATGCAAATAAAATATTTGTATGAAATATAGTTAACTAAAACTGCTGAATGTCAAAAAGGAAGTAAGTAAGTTTTTTAATTTCTTTTTGCAAAATTATCAGATGTATCCTTTTATTTGAAACTTGTTTCACTGCTTTAAAATAATGTTAATATGGATTTATGGCTGTTGGAAAATCTAGTTGTGCTTTCAAACTTTGCTGAATTCCAAAATGCAGATCTAATTGACTGCTCTGGTATATAGTCTTGGCATAAAAAAATATTTTTTATTGCTTTTAGCTCAAATTTTATAGTTCTAACTCTGATTTTAAATTGTCATTCTTATCACGTCTGAATTTATTAGAATTAAAATTCAATTTATTGTTTCTTTTAATTAACTTTAACTCATGCTATTTTAATTTATTAATGCTCTATTGTTATGAAATTTTTAGATCACTATACTTAGTAGCAGACATGCCTGCTATTTAACCAATTCTAGTATCTCAATAAAATGCATATTAATTTATACCGGGCTTTTCTAGATATATACAACAGAGGTATTGCATATGCAGAACCAATAGCATTTTTAGATTATGATTCTATGAATAGTTGACTTGTGAAATATGTATTATAAGTTTATGTAATTTTTAAGTTTGGCTGAGTTTGTTTTATTTGCAAGAGCAAATTCAATTGCATTTGGCTTTACTTATTTTTTCAGGTATTTCATAAACAAAAATTTATTTACAATTCCCATTTTCATCATAAAACGTTTTTGAAAGACTAAAATTGTAAAGTTTGTTTCTTGTAATTGAGAGAGCAACATATAATTGATATAATTTCTTCTGTTTAAAAATCGCAGACCATCTTGAATGTATTTTTGTGCATGTCTTTTTGTTAATAACATGGCACAAATTCAAAAATTAAGAACCATAAAAGTTGTTTTTTATCATAGCTGCTTAGAAATGTTAATTATTTACCTCCAAATTTCAGTTAAATTATGTGAATGTACATTTCCTTTGCCACAAACTTCTGATTAGAATAAAAATATAATTATTTATGAGGTAAAAGTATTCTATATAATTTTCTTTGCTTCTTCTCATGTGAAGGAATACTTTGCTTTCATGATGTATTGGAACATCAAAAAATGGTATGTACGTTTTATATAAGTATGATTTTTAAAAGTAATGCAGTATTCACCATCATTAAGTAATTTTAAAGTTTCTTTACTGATTCTGACATGCTCCACTTTTTGATGTTCTGTTAAATTACTGGAGGCCCATTGACAAACTAATTGTTTTGCATATGCTGTCCTTCCCAATCTATTTTTTTTTTACTACTACTCATTGGTAAATAAATCTAAACTCTAAGAGAATATTAAATAATTAGTAAATAAACTAGTATTTTGAAATTTAAATTTATCTGATTTTAATTTGAAGAACTTTAAAAGAAATATGAAATATATTTATCATAAATAATTGATTTATTTTTATTGAAATAAATCATTTAAAAAATAAACTTTCTTCATTCAGCAATTAAAATAAAATAAGCTTATGTAAAATCCCCCCGCTGCCCACCCCCAAAAAAAGTTAATTTTGTTTTCCTCCCTCAAATATTATCAAGCGGGTGCGTTAGCAAGTAATCATATAATAGTGTACGGAATTTTAAAAAATTAGCAAGTTCAAAATAATTCAAAGATAACAATACATGGGCAATTATATTTTTTTATAATATACAGTATCTTTAAGAGAAGAAGAAAATTATAAGTAACAACAAAGAACTATTATCTTTTCAGTTTTATGCTAGCATCTCTCAAAAAATAAAAAAAATTTAGCTTGTGCATTCAGTTGCAGCATTGTAATTTTTAATTTCATCCACAAAATATGTTTAATATTCTGTGAAACATTATGTTCATCATTAACACTTGCATTTCTCTAAGAAATATTATATTTATTTTTTAAGAATTTCTAGGAATTAATAAAACATAATTTCTTGGTGGTAATTTTGTTTAATATGAATTATATATTGAAATTAAATTGCTTGAAATATTTTATATCAAATAAATGTGCATCCTGTAAAATTCATGATTTCAGTTTTAGTTTTGATCGGAGTCATGAATTTATTTTTCTAAATAGTTTTTAATAGTGATGCTTGTTTTATTTCTTAGCTTTTTTTGAATTTCTCTACTACTCTTAATCATATTTGCATTTCAGTACATATGTTATTAAAAAAGAGTTTTTAGGAATAACCTTAAATCAAATATTTTTAGAGAAAATTCATTTTTTGTAACAAATAATATGGTAACTAAGCATTTTCTTTGTTTTATAAATAATACTAACTCTTGGGTTTTTTTTTTTTTTTTTCAAATATTTTTATATTAAAAAAAGAGTATTGCTCAGTACAAATTTTATGGAATGTTTGTAATTCATGTCTATTGTTTTTCATTATGTTTAGGATGAAAAACTTTTAAATTACAATTATAATTTAGTGATTGGCTAGTGAAAAAACACATTTATTGACTTTTTATGAATAAAATTTTAACTGTAGAATTTTTTGGTAAAATTAATTTTAATAGTATTTTTTCATTTTATTTTAATTTTATAGTCTATTATAAACTTTAAAATGCATGAAGAGGTATTGCAACACCTTTAACAGTAGTAGAAACAGTTATAGGTCTCACAGTGGTCTTCCGAGCATAGCAGCATTTGCACTTTGAAATATAACATTGCTTGGCTTTTTCATGTGCCTTTCTGGTAAGTATTAAATCTCCCCATGTTGGAGCAAATACTTTATCCCATTTTAAACCATTTGAATTACTTACCCATTCTATTAATCCATCTGTTTCTAGTGCATATAAATAATTTAATGATATTTTGCCGATTCCTGCAGCTTTGGCAGCAGAGCCTGTTAAATGTACATCATCAACCCAAAAATATCGAAGCTTTCTTACAGAATAAATTAAAGTTTTTGCTGCATGTGGTGTTGTCAGGTAAGCCCATCCTGAGCAGTAATCATCAAAAGTATCCGATGAGAATTCCTCTTTGGAGACATACCACTTGCTGACTGGATCCCTGACCACTGGCATGTGTTGTTGAAAATAGCAAGCTATATTATTTTCCAAATCGAAATATTTAAATTTTGTGTATATATAATCAAGCAGTTGATAAACATCTATAAAAATATCGTCATCCATTTTCAGAAGATATCTGGCATGTGCACAGTATTCTGATGCCCAGGACAAACCCATGACATGTTTGTATGTTAAATTACGATAAGAGTCAAGAAAATTACCTTGAACTATGTCTCTGTAAGAGTAATTCTCACGTTCAATATTTGCTTGAAATTCCTCTGTTGCTGCTAGAAGAAAAACTATTTTGATCACAGGAAATTCTGGTCCAAGATTGCCCCACATGCTTCTAATTACATTTCTGTGATGGAAATGGTTAGGAGCAGTATGCACAAGTATGAGTATGTGCACATTACCTTTACAAATATCATTATTTATTATATACTCAAAATTCCTAAAATCAAGTAAGCTGTTGCCTGTCACTCTTTCACTATTTAAAAAATATTTTTCATTTTTCAGGAAGCTTCCATCATAATAGTAGCAGTAGTACAGTATAAATAAAATACCTGTTACAGAAACTGAACAAAGTTTGAAGAAAATGAATTTCGACTTATTTAATGACGTGAATCTAGTCATTATAATATAATCGTAAAATGCGACTTTTCAATGGTATTTGAAGAAAACTTTTATTCCGCATTTCAGCAATATATGCGTTCTGTCCGCATGTTAATTTTTATTTCAGTATATGAAACCCGTAACTTTTCTGGATTTCCATTGAGTTTCCATTCTAAAATAATAATCTCTGCGTGTCATTTTTGGAAAAACTGCTGCAATAACGCACATGGAAAAAAAAATTCAAAATTTACACACTTAGTTTACCATTTTCGACTGGCGCTGTTTCTAAACGGCATTATTCATTTTCACCTTCGCTCCACCTGCGGTAAAAGTGAGTGGGTTTCGTTGGAATCACGTGTGTCCAGTACATAAGTCTGATTGGACCAGACGTTTAAAACCTCCGCTTAAATCGACCTACATAATTTTTTGTTTTTAATGAAAACTTGCTTTAAATGAGTGTTTATATTTCACCTTGAGTTCAGACCGATTTCCTTTTCCTTCGCCGTGCTCGAAAATTTTGATTTTCTAATTTTGTTTCGATGTGCTTTAATATTTTCCGCTTTATTCATCTGAGGCAGGCGGGAGAAATTCTTTTTCAAATTGCTGGTTTGCGTTATTTTCTGCTAACAGCCGTAACGCAGATAATAATAATAGTAGTTTCGTTTAGCTTGAAAACTTGATTAAGGTATCTTAGTTTTTTGTGTTGTATTTTGTTTATTTTATTTATTTTTCTAAAGTGCAATCAAGTTTTAATTCGTGTGGATTGAAGTAATGGTGTATATCATCAACACAAGAATCAATTTTGAATCATTAACAGCAACAGAATTTCAGTTTCAATCAGTAACATGAAAACTTTATTATTTCGGAAACATGTGCTATTCTAAAACGCACTTTTTTTAAGCGGCACTTGTGTAGGGAAAAAGGTTCGTCTTAGAATTGGAAAAAGTAAAAGATATTAGATTATTATTCAATTTTTCCCAGAGTGTAAAATTTACCACATGCTCCCTTCCCCCAGAAAATTATTAAATACACAAATTCGTGTTTTTGTCATAGTGCGGCAGATCGATATAAAGTGACCACGCGTCCCGAATTTGGCGGGACAGTCCCGATTTTTGGAGGACTGTCCCGCGTCCCGCCGATCTTTAAAAATGTCCCGCTTTTTAGAAAACATCTCCATTTCTTATTTTAATTGTACTGTAAAAATATATTAACTATTATCGTAAATATAAAGAAATAAAAAAATACATAAATAAAGAAACATATAAAATGCAGAGTAAACTAAATTAGGTGATGTAACGAGTTAGATTTACTCGGTGGTGTTCGATCATTAGCGTTACGTCTCGTCAAGGAATATGTATTGCTAACGGAGGAACAGCTAGCATTAGCAGAAGGGCTATTTACTTTCCACACCATAAAACACAACCAAAGTTTCAGATCAATTGATTGTATGTTGCAAATGATCAAAACATTGTACGACAAAAAAATTTGCATGTGCAACGACAAAAACCGAAGTAATTATTTGTAATGTTTTTTCACTATATTCGTTTTCACAATTGCAAAAAGAATTAGATAAATGCACATTTATATCCACGTATTATGAAGCTTCCAACCACAAAGATTTAATATTATTTCCCGCAATTGTTAGACTTTTTGATCCAGAAACAGAAATTAAAATTAGAATATTAGATTTTGTTTCATTGCCGGGGGAAACTTCATAAATAATTTTTGATTCAATAAGAACTCTTTTAAAAAAGAATAATTTGAACAATAAAATTATTGCTTATTATGAGGATAACACTAACGCAAATTTTGGTGGAAAAGATAGAAGAGGCATCAATAACGTTTTTACGAAACTTAACGAACATTTGAAAAAAAAATTATTGGAATTGGTTGTCCAGCGCATATTCTACACAGTACTATTCAAACAGCATCTGACTTACTTCCAGTGGATCTTGAAAATATTATTTCAAAAATTTATTCGTATATACTGTACTGTGCGTGTTGAAAGTTTGAAGGATTTTTGTGAAAGCGCAGAAATCGAATATAAAAGAATTATTGGTTACAGCAAAACACGAATGGCTAACTCTTTTAACCATCTGTAGAAAATATTTTTTAAAATATACGAACCATTAAAATCATGCTTTTTATCACAAGATAAAAGTCCAAGGAATATTGCAGCTCTTTTATTGAAAATGAACACATGCCAAATTTAGACTTCAGTTCGTCCACAACCAAGCTACATTATTTCACAATGCTGTGAAAATTACTGAAGGGGACAAAATTTCAATTACGGAAGTGTCAAATGAAATCAATGATTTAAAAACAAAATTGCGAGAAAGAATTGATAACGAGTACGTTTCTTTAGTTATTCGAAAGGACATCACTAGGTTAGAAGAACAAAGCGCCATTAAACGACCTGATTTTCTGAAAGAAGTCAGAAATTTTTATAATAACTGCTTGTAATATCTTGAAGAACGGACAGTTCAATTCGAGGATATCAAAAATTTTCATTGGGTGACATTAAAAAATGAAATTTTATGGGAATATGTGGAAAAATCTTTTTAATATATTGGTAACTATTTTCCGAAAAATAATATTTGTGGAAATGATCTTTTTGATGAGGTGTCATTGGTAAAAATAGATACGTTACTGATGAAAAAAATTAAATATTCGGTTGTCTGCAAATGTGGGAAACAGACAAAAAATGGACGGAGTTATTCCTTCATTTTAAACAGAATAATAACATTCCTTATGGAAAATATTTTGAAAATTGTAGAACATGCGCTTTCCCTTCCAGGAACAAATGCAGCAAAAGAACGTGTTTTTTCTATTATCAATAAAATATGGACAATTGAAAAAATGCAGTTGAACATTAAAACTTTAAACTATGCATTATGCGTAAAATATAATTTGACCAATTCATGTGAGAAACTTCACGACATTTTAATAAAGGATCCGAATCTATTGCAAAGTATTCACTCGAATAAAAAATATGACCGTGAAAGGAAACCATAATTTTTTTAATAAAATTTTTAAATTAATTATAAAACAAATATTCAAATTATAGTTTTTTACAAATATTTTTATAGTTACCAATAGTTAATAATAAATAATTTTTGTATATTTATAGATAAGTAAATGAATGTATACAATAAAATACATTTTTTTGAATTATTGGTCTGCTTTATAACTAAATTACAATTTTCATTTCATTCCATTTGTCTCGATGAAAATGTGGTCACTTTAGTATAAACGGTCATGAAATCATTTCTTGCTAAATGTTTTCCTGTTATACTATTTTCCTTATTCTACCCCACTTACGCTTAGCCTATTACGACATAAAGTATGTCACGCGAAACCAAATAAGGAGAAATACACAGAGCAAGTGGTCTGGCTTGTATTGGAGGGGATTTTTCGTATAGTTATAAATCACACATTTTTCGTTTAGGTGGGAAAAGTGTTTTTTAGGAAATTGTTTTCCACTTTAGATTTTTGAAGTTTACCAACACTAATTGAAACCATTTTTGAAACATTAGACATGATATGCAGTTGGTTAATTATTATCTGAAATTTAAGAATTCTTAAACCGTTCTTAAAATATAATTATAAATGCTTACAAACTAAATTTTGCGTATTATGAACTTTATTGAGAAATTTCAAATTTTCGAATAACTTTCTGATAATTTTCATGTAAACTTTCATTTAGGAAATATATTTGCAAGAATGGATGTCATAGAAACATCTTAAAACGATATTGTTATATATATATAAATTTTGCTCCAATCATTATTTACGAACAATTATCAAATGAAATCGATTCCTTTAAATGGCAAATCAAATAAATGTATTTTTTTATTTTATATGTGAAGTATTCTTATATTACGTTTTTAACATCAGAAATATTGATTTCCTATATAGATATTTCACTTTTACTTTTTGGGGTCGTTATTGTACGCTTTCAGGGAATTCATGACCTCTGGAACTAGCAATGGCTGTCGTTGCTAGAGATTTAAATTTTTATTTTGCCTTCTTCGGAATGACAAAAAGCCACTTCTAAAAAAGCTGTTATTTGGGACAACATAAAATTCTGTCTGGCAAGCTAGAAGTAGTGGCTTAACAAACTGGGCGGTTTCGAAAGGAATAAATATACTTCTTAATAATTTTTTATTTGTTTTATTAGTAGCAATGTATGTAATTATTATAATTATAATTTATCTGAACGACAATTTTTAAGAACATTTGCACCATATTGCACTAACGCCATATATTGCGAAACTTTAATGCAGAATAATCTTTTATATCCTGTCTCTCAGCATTTTACGCAGGGATTGTATGTCTGTTTGTGGAATAACTGAATTATTAAAGTTATTGGATATAATTTTTTACGATTTGAATTTTTCCCCTTAAGTTCCATTATATCCCCGATTTAAATTGGGTAGTGAATGATCAAAATTTATTCAAAATTATTTACCATATTAAAAAGCTTTTGCTCGAAGGTCAAAAGTCATTTTCATTATTAAAATGTTTAAAAAAATAAGATTCTTTAATCTTTAATGGAATTATTAATCCAGTTCTTGAATTTGAATAGCATGAATCTTGGCGTTTCGCATTATCTGCATACTATACCTCATCAATTTAAGCAAAAGTTAACGAATTTCATTTGAAAGGTGATATTGCGATGTTTTACAGCAAACTGTAGCTAAATTCCATCCCATCAGCAGAGGTCAGGACTGGACTGCGGCCAAAAATGCGAGAATTTTCTTCTTCTTGAGTGAAGATGTACCTATGTGGTGCCCTTTTTAAGGGAAAGAATTCGTATTCACTTTGTAAATCGGGAAAAATATGAACGGGCTACCTGCATGGAGAATTCAGCTAACCTATTCGTCGGGATTTGAACCTGGTTAAAACTATCAGTGTTTAATAATTTTACCCCTCCAGCTGCTGATAAACCTTTTTGGCCCACTTCATTTGCTAATAGTTGCTGATCCTCTGTTCAAAAACGTGCACAGTACTACACATTAAACTTGAATACGGCTGTTACGAAACTTTTCTTTCGAATAAGGAGTAACGCATTAATTTGAAAAATAGACCTGGAAGTTTGTTATTTTTAGCCCGTGAGCTCTAATATTCTGTAAGGAACAAAACAAGAGACACGGAGGTGTGAGAAAATACTGTTAAGAAATCAAAAATGAATTTTATGTTAATTAACCCAGCTTTCTTATTATTTTGGCTTTACTTTCGTCAGTTGTACTTTCGTCAACTCCTACCAGACTGCAAATTAGTTAAAGCAAAAATGAGCACAGATTTGAGTTTAGGATTAAGATATCTGAATC